TAGGTCTAGTTGTGTAAAAACAACAGCTTTTGCCTCAATTGTAGTTGATGTGAAGTTATATGGAAACAATTAAGCAAAGTGAAGATGTGCTTAAGTGTAGTATTTGTTTTGGGAGGATCTAGTTTTTTTATTAAAAACAATATGAATCATTAAAACCTCAGTTTATCATTTTAGGTCCTTATGAGAATTTGTATAGAAAGTGCGGGTCTTGATTTCCATGCCGGACATTTTGTTTGTGTCGAATCTGCTGATGGGGAAGCTCAAATGCGTCCGTAGCGCTCAGTCGTAAAGAAACCATGGCAGCAACACAAGCCTCCAAAGAGCAGAAATACGACAGACAGCTGAGGTACGATTTGTACCACAACACTGCTCTCTCAACGAACTGGTTCATTCATTTAGTAAACTTCTGTAAATGATTTTATTTCAGTGCTGAAAACACTGGCGAGGCTGGGATGCTAACAATAATGTCAGCTAGCGTTAGCTTGTTCCGTGTGTTTGATTAAGGAGATGTAGAAGGTTAATGGAGAGGGTTTCTCTGTTGTCTCTTCGGTGTTGACTCTTACCAGTGGTGCTCCTGATATAACATCTACATAGGCCCAGCATGTGCTGGTTAAACTGGTGTGACAGCGGGACAGTGGATGCTAGTGAAGCTGTCAGATCACCAGCTACAAGCCTGTGTTTTTACAGCGGCGGAGGAGGAGGGATTGTGACACTAGATGGCAACACGTGTCCTTGTTTTGATGTGTGCTGCTTTCAGATTGTGGGGAGACCACGGTCAGGAGTCACTGGAGAATGCTCACGTCTGCCTCATCAACGCCACAGCTACTGGAACCGAGATACTGAAGAACCTGGTGCTGCCAGGTAAGAGATGTGGCTCTGTGCTGGAGATGATGCTGCAGGAGCCAATGGAAGCATCTCTCTGTTTCAATGAATTGATGTATTTTTCAGGTATCGGCGCGTTCACCATAGTTGATGGACACACAGTGTCTGGGGAAGATGTTGGAAACAAGTGAGTCAGCTGTGTTTCTTTGAAAGTTGAGAATAATATGTGTTGGTTCAACTTGTGCATTCTTGAACCTCATCATCTTGTCTTGCAGCTTTTTCCTGAGCAACAACAGCATTGGAAAGGTATTCTTTGCCGAAATAAATACATTCATTTTTGTTTCGCTAGTAAATTCACAAACACAGATGCACAATTTCCAATTGTTTTCCCCGCCTGCTCTCTGCATCTCTTCCAGTAAAGACTGTTTCATATTCTTATCAGGAATAAACATGTGATATATTTCTATGGGTCCTGATCTTAGTTTTCATGTTGCAGAACAGAGCACAGGCTGCCACTGAGCTGCTCCAAGAACTTAACAGTGATGTCTCTGGAAACTTTGTCGAGGAGGTGGGTGTTGTTTATCTTTGACATAGAGCCATATGTGTTGTCACAACAGGTATACAAATATTTAGAGATGTTGAAACAAAAACAATATGTCACACGGAAATGCACTAAAACTGTGAAAATACTTAATACACTAAACGAGACATAAGGGCTTGTGCAGATGTATTACAAGTCTCTAAGTCAAACAACATATGCTGTTTAGTTATGTAAATGTAACAATCAGTATATCGTTCCTCTGTTTTCTGTTTCTCCTGCAGAGTCCAGACAAACTTCTTGACAACGATCCAGAGTTTTTCCACAGGTTTACCATAGTCATCGGTGTCCATTTGCCAGAAAGGTATGAGACATACACTTGAGCTTTACTTTTACTTTCTATTGTTATAGGGATAGGACAAAAATATATGAGCCTATATTTTGTTTAACCAGCATTTTCAACATTAGCTAAAACACATATCAAGATTACAAAACATTTTGTTACTGTTTACATTTAGAGCACAACATGTTTTGGCTTGATTCATTCAATCATCTTTAAAACTCAACAGCACGTGTTTGAGGCTCGGCTCAGTTCTGTGGAGCGCCTCGGTACCTTTCCTCGTCTGTAAAACATACGGCCTCATTGGCTACATGAGACTAGTGGTGCAGGAGCATACAGGTTAGTTCTGATACTATAAAATGTTGACCAACAGTTATTTTTGAACTCTTAATTGGTATTATATTTTTACATGTATAATACTTTCAGTTCACAGTAAAGGGTGAACCCATGAAATCAAAAATGTAGCTCTGTGATGTATAAATAATTTATGGATATTTC